AACTAGAGAACTTTAGCTATTTTTTGAGCTAAAAATAAAAAATATTTGTTAGTAAAATTAAAAACTTTTATATGTAAAGAAAAATATGTATTTTACTAATTATAATTAGTAAAAAATTTAAGCGTTGCATTATTTTTGATTGCCACTATATATTTAATTATATAAATTATTATATTAATATTTATTAAAGTAAATAAATATTAAAAAAATTTAAAAATTTGTAAAAAAAATTATAAATTCATAATTATAATATTTATTACTAAAAAATTAATAATTTTTTAATTATTATTAACTTTATAAAATAAATTATCTAATAAAATAATAATAATTTATTAATAAAAAAATAAAATTAAAAATTATAATTATAAATATTTAATTATATTTATTATATTTTTTAATTTTATTTATTATTAACTTTATTATATTTAATATATTATTAAGTTTAACAAGAAAATCAAAAAATAATATATTATTTTTCTTAAAATTAATAATTTTATTAATAATAATTTTTATAAAAAAACTTCTTTATAAATTACTCAGGCTAATTATTAATTATTTTTTATAATTATTTATTTAAATCTTATATTTAAGTAATTTATATAAATATTATAAGTTTTATTATTATAATTAAAGATTTTTATAAATAAATTAATAAAATTATAATTTAATGAAAAAATAAAATAAAAATTACTTAATTTAAGTAAAATTTTATATTATATAAAAGATAAAATAAGAATATTATTTAAGTTATATTTATTTTATTATATAAAAATATAAGATAAAATTAATTAAAAAAAATAATATATTTTATAATTATAAAAAATTATATATTTTTAATTTAATAAAAACAATATTTTACAATATATATTAATTATTATAAAATTTTAATAAAAATATAAATAATATAATATATTTTAATTTAAGTTTGAAAATATAAATAATATTATATATTTTAATTTAATAAAAAATAATATATTAAAAATAACATATTTCTTAATATATATTAATTATTATAAAGTTTATAAATTAAAAATAGAGTTAAGCAAGAAAATAACTAAATTAAAAAGTTAACAAAGATTAGCATTATGATCAGAATTATATAATTCTTTATATATTATATATTTCATATAAAAATGTAGAATAATTTATATATTATGATCAGTATTAAAATTCAATTTTTTATTTTTGATTTTATGAATATAAAAGTTCTTTACAATATTTACATAAAAATAAATAATATTCACAAATGTGAACTTATACTTTTATAAAACTCAAAATATTAAATTCTAATTCAAATTTTTCTCAAAGAATTAATATCAAAAAGTATATAAAAAAAGTACAACAAGAAAGAAAATAAATTAATCAATTTGGAAATTAGTATGTGATTATGAATGTATGATATATTTAACATTACTTTATTTTAGTAATCATAATTTTTACATGGATCATAATCATATAGTGAATATTAACTTTGAACAAGAAATTAATAAACTCAGAATTTATGTTCACATTATGTGAACATAAAATAAAAAATCTTGATTTCTTTCAAGAATGTATATTCACTGTGTACACTTTTCCAACATTGATCATAATAACGGATAACGGTATAAAACGGAATTTTGGGACAAAACAGAATAAATCGATATAAAAGGGAATTTTTATAGAGAGAGAGAGCGATATATATATATTACAAAAATTGCTTTATAGTTTGTTCCATTCCATTTTATGAACAAAAATTACGATCTTTTTTATCATTTTTCTTATGAAAAATGCCTGAGAAAAAACGAATAACTGCATATAGTCAGTCGTGCTTGTAGCCACTCAATTGAGAGCATAAAACTACTATTATTTTGCATATTAATGCAATAGCAAGTCATAAAAAAATCATAATCTTGTATAAATAACACAACAAACGTTAATTCGACACTTAATAATGTATCTATATCACTTTTACAAGAATGGGCTTAATTTAAATGAAATTGAATTGATCTTTGGAACAAAATCTCATATCAATTATATTTAGTTTAGTGCTTATAAAAAAAATTTGGATAGGTAAAATCTTAGTCAAGAATCTCTTCGTGCACTTATAATAAGAATTAATATTATATGATTAATAAATTCAATTTCGTAATAAAGGATTTTTCAAAGTCAAAATTGAATTTTTTCAAAATCACAACGGGATTTTTCCGGGTCCCTGATTTCGTACTCGATAAGAATACCTTCAAATTCCAGCCGCAGGATAATTATTAATCTTTGCCGAGATGTTTGTAGTGGGGAACGTTAAAGCGAGCTAGTATTATCAAATCACTAGAAATTTCTTTATATAAGACATATTGAGGTTAAAACCACCAAACAAAGATAGGAATATATCTAAATTTTGCATTGAGAATTTTAAGACAGTTATCATTGTTGATAGTAACATTCTAAGCTATTTACGATTTTCGCGTTTATCTTTGCGATTCTAGCAAATAAGACCAGATTTTCCTTGAGCTAACAATGGACCAATTACATTGACTTTCTAATATCGTAGCATTATCAACTAATTTTAATGTCTTTTTCGCGTTCGCTGGGTCATCAGTACATTTTTGCTGATTATTATCGTTATGCCGATCACTATGTGTTTATTATAATTGTGTGTGCATTGTACACCATACGATACTGAAATCACAATGATTTCTTGTCATTGTCGTCATACAAAGTTTTGTACGTAGTTACACTGAAGATTCATTTGTTGGGAAGTTGATGGGAAGTTGATGGGAAAGTGTAACGGAACTAACCGCAACAATGCACTTATGTTTCATTTTAAGCAGTTACACTGTGAATCAATTTGTTGGGAGTTATTACGTAGTTAATTACGTAGATCAATTTTTGGACGGACTTGTATAAATTGAAGTCTCCAACGATAAAAAATTTACCAAATAATTTTACACCACCAAATAATTTTCGTAAAGATTATTCATTAAACATTATTCGTTAAAAATTTTCGTTGTCCCTAAAACTGCGACGATTTATATTTTCGTTCACACCATAACCATAACCAACCACAAAATGGCACCAATATCAATCTTTGATAAGTTACCTACTCGTATCCAAAAATTAGCAATAACTTTATGTGATCTTGTAAAAGAAGAATGTCCACATCTCAAGTTAATTATCGATCATAGTCTCGTTACTGCTGTGCCTATTTGTGTGATCTGTGAACAATGTATATTTGATGATAATGAATACGTGGAATACCAGGAATACCCAATGCATCTTCAATGTAGCCAACTGCATGATGTATATATGGATCTTGACACCCTGGAAATGACGGAAATGACGAATCAATCCCTGAATATTGCAAATTTCCCCCCGGAAATTACAAATCACCTCCTGGAAATTACAAATCAATCAATTGGAATCAAGGAAGGTCAACCTGGAGTGGGAGAGATTTGGTGGGATCCTCCACCAGGTTTGACCGTTAAACCGGTTAAACCCCTGGAAATTACAAATCACCCCTTGGGAATTACAAATCACCCCTTGGAAATTACAAATCACCCCTTGGGAATTACAAATCACCCCTTGGACATTACAAATCACCCCTTGGAAATTACAAATCACCCCTTGGAAATTACAAATCACCTCTTGGGAATTACAAATCACCCCTTGGGAATTACAAATCACCCCTTGGAAATTAAAAATCACCCCCTGGAATTGATGAATCACCCTCTGGAAATTACAAGTTACCCCACGGAAATTTCAGATAGAGTCATGGAATTCGATCAAAAATTCAGGCAAGCGGCAATCAAATTTCGAAAAAATGGAAGACTTCCACCGATTTTGATTGATGGATCTCCTATAGATCAATTATTGAGATTGATGACTACTATAGATCAATTATTGAGATTGATAACTATGTACGACGAATTTGCAGGAAAGAAAAATAAAAATCAGACAAAATTATACTTATTAGCAAAAATGGGTAAATTAATCGTCCAACAACCCGAATTAGAAGATTTGGTACCAAACCCCGAACGAAAAAAAACCAAACGAATTCTTCGGGTATCGAAGCTGTTATATGAATTATTTCCAACGCAATATGAATTATTGCGGCATGCTGAACAAATTTCATGTAGTGAGCTTAATAAAATGAATAATAATCAGATCAAGCAGCTTCAGCGAATTGTTGATGTTTGGTCGTCATTTATCTGAGGAATTTTGTATTATCATACTTATTTATATTTATATATAAACTGTATTACCATATTATTTATTATTATATTTATGTCAATAAATTTTATTTATATAATTTATACAGTTGAATTTTTTGATTTGAATTAAGAACCGAATTCATTTAGTATTAAAGGGCACTTTACACGTGAACTAATTTTGTAGGGAAGTTGATGGGAAGTGTAACGGAACTATGAATTACTACATATGTTTCATTATGCGCAGTATTGTAGATCAATTTGTTGGGACAATATTTAATTAAATCAATTTGTTGAGATATAAATTGAGATGAAAAATTCCCTAAAAATTTTCTAAAATTTTCTAAAAATTATTTGTTATCATTCGTATAAATAAGCTTCGACCTAAATTACATCATTATATTTTGCTCACACTATCTATAACATATCTTCGCATTTACTGTGTTTATTATTACCACAAAATGCCATCAATATCAACCTGTGATAAGCTACCTATTACTGTCCGAGAATTGGTAATGGATTTATGGGATCTTGTAAAAAAAGAATGTCCACATCTCAAGATAACCATCGATTGTAGTCTCGTTTCTACTTATGTGATTTGTGCGATTTGTGGGCATTGTATATTTGATGACAATGAATACGTGGAATGCCAGACGTACCTAATACATGTACATCGTCGATGTGGCCAACTTTTACCACGTGATTTACATGATAAATCTATCGATATGGATTTTGAGAACTCTCATTCCTTGGATCAATCCTCGGATATGACAGCAATGATGAATCAGCCCACAGTAATGATGGATCAACTTCCGGATATGACAGTAATGATGGATCAACCCCCGGATATGATAGTAATGATGGAACAACCCCCGGATATGACAGTAATGATGGATCAACCCCCGGATATGACAGTAATGATGGATCAACCCCCGGATATGACAGTAATGATGGATCAATTACCGGATATGACAGTAATGATGGATCAATTACCGGATATGACAGTAATGAATCAATTCTCAGATTTCCCCTCGGGAAGTACAAACCACGCCTCGGAAATTACGGGAAGTGACGAATCACTCCCTGGAAATTACAAATCACCCCTTGGAACTTACAAATCATCCCCTGGAAGTGATGGATCACTCCCTGGAAATTACAAATCACCCCTTGGAACTTACAAATCATCCCCTGGAAGTGATGAATCACTCCCTGGAAATTACAAATCACCCCTTGGAAATCCCTCGGAAATTTCAAGTAGCGTCAAGGAATTTAATGAACAATTCAAGCAAGCGGCAATCAAATTTCGAGAAAGTAGAAAACTTTTACCGATTTTGGAAAATGGATCTTCTAAAGATCAATTATCGGATTTGGTAGTTATTTATGAAGAAATTGCACCAAAGCGCAATCAATCTCGCACAAGATTATATTTACTAGCAAAAATGGGTGAACTAATCGCCCAACAATCCGAATTAGAAGAGCATTATTTGGTACAAGACCCCAAACGAAAAAAAACAAACCAAAGTAGGCTTCGGATAGCGAGACTGTTATATGAATTATTTCCAACGCAATATGAATTATTGCGGCATACTGAACAAATTTCATATAGTGATCTTCAAGGTATGAATAATGATGAGATCAAACAACTTCAGCAAATGGTTGCTGTTTGGTCATCGTCAATCTGACGAAATCAGGCGTTTTATCAGATAAACTATATTATCTATTTATTATATATAAACTGTATTATCATATTATTTATATTTATTATATTCAACATTTTAATTAATTTTATTTATATAATTTATACAATTGAATTTTTTATTGGAATTAAGAACTGAAAAGATTTCAGATTAAAGGGAATGGATAATAACTTCCGAGATTCGATCTATTATTATCATGGATTGTATATGTTTTTAAACTACTGTGTGGTGATTATCTCCATACAAGTTTTAGTTTTAGTAACAATAAATTTTCGTTAAATACGAATGTCTAATTAAACGTTTTTTAATGCTGTTGTGCCCCAAATCACAATTGGATATATCCCAATTCAAAATGTAGATCATTCCAATAGGGATATATAGATATATATATTACAAAAAATCATGTTTATTTATATTCTTATGAATAACTGCACAAGAATTTTTCTGAAGATTTTCGTTATGATAATGGAATTTTTTATGTAATTAAAATGCAATAAAATGCTGTATTATTCAGACTGAAAACTCTACTTCTAGCGTTGAGTTGGATCGGATAGTATCAATATTCGCATTATCTGGTATCCTCTATATATATATATAAATTATGAGCTAAATACTTCTTTCACAAAGAATAAAACAATTATTACCAGCTATTACTAAATTCAATATTCAATATAAATTTCGTATTTTAATGACATGATTTGATTGGATGTGCAACACGTGACACGTTAATATCAGGCTGTGATCGGTCAAAGCCATTCCGAAATTGGACCAATACTAATAAAATTAATAGTTTTTATTAAATCGTAATAACTCTAAAGAAAACTTAGATTGAAAAAATTAATCCGATAATTTGATAGATTGTCTTTCGGATCCAATTTCCAATTTTCTGAACATGCACTGTAGGGTGTACTGAATGAATCATTTGATGTTCACGTGCATAATAAATTTATCATGTACATGTATTTATGTACATGAACTACATGTATAAAAAATTAATCATGATTTCTAAAAAACTATCTCGAAATTCGAAAGGAAAACAACGATTAGACGTGCTACACTCTGTTTTGAAATCCCAACGAAAATATCAAAAAGTATTAAAAATTATTTTATTGTTCTGTATCGAAAAGATATTTTCTTTTGTAACCAATCGTTATTTTTTTCTTAGGTGGCAAAAGATGCTCGTCTCATGGTGAAATTATTGAAACAGATGAGGGAAAAAATTTCGTTGGGGGAATTTAACAATTTTTGTTCTTCAAAATTTGACGAATCAGTTGGTCGAATAGGGTCATCCTATGAACTTGTTTCCAACTATGGCCGAAATTTTAATGAAACGAAATTGGATACAAAGTCTAACGATGATGAAACTTCCGATTCTTCATGCTCATCATCATCTTATACATTCTCCGATGATATTGATACTGACAAAGAATACAGAGAAGAGCATTATCAAAGCGATGAAGAATTTCAGAACGAAGAGATAGAAGATAAGAACGAAGACGAACAAGACGGTGGTGTAAAAGACGAAATAATGAACAATGAAGAACAAAAAGGTCAAGAACGACAAGAACAGGAATGCTGGACAAAATATCAAAGAAACGCGTTAAATGAAAATTTAATCAAATATTTCGAATATCGTAAGCGTAAAATTGGATTTTCGCAAAAACAATTGGCCGATGAACTAGTAGATTTATCACCAAATAAAGACGTCGGCTTGAAACTGGAAAAAGTTATTGGCGTATATCTGAGTAGACGAGTATTACCAAGCAAACCAGAATTATTGAAAGCAATTGATTTATGGATCAGTCGGGAGAAAACAAGAAAATACTGTTGAATCATTTGTGTTATTCTAACACATATGTTATTTCCCTAAGCATGATGTATCGTTTTTTCTAATGGAATTTTGGGTAGACATAAAGAATTAAATAAAGAATTAAAATGCAAGCCATATAAACAACTTAAGAAATTTATCTTTGAAATTCTGATTTCACACAGAGCACAATTCTCATTGTGAGTCCAATTCAACATATTCTCCATAAGATCCACGGTAAATACATCAATTTTAACAAGTAGTGAACATGATAGAGGATACGGTTTTATTCGAGTCGAAGAAACCCCTCAACGAGCTGACCTATATTTTTGACAAATTGAATTTGTGAATTGCACGGTAAGATAGAATGTCACAGTTAGTGTTGCATGCCGTAATAGGGTTTAATAAAGTTAAAAGTTGCAACTTTTTGACTTAAGAATCGTAATTTTTGCTGTAATTGTTTAATGCTCGTAATTGGTGATACTCGTGATTGTTTTAACTGTAAAATTCGTAATTAATTACAAAAATATTTATTTTTTATAATAATAAGTATTTTCACACACGGCCTCTTTGAGTCTCAATGTCTCAAGATCAATTCCCATCATTAGGACTCGAAGCCCCAAAGAAGCTGTACATTAAAATGTTCAATAAATCTAAATAACCTCTTTGGAATTAAATATCTCGAGACCCAGCGACGGGAATTGAGTATAAAACCTACCATTCGACTCATCAGAACCGAGAGGATCGAATATAGACTAAAATTATCTAATTTCTGTTTTTCTTGTTCATATAATTTCTTCATTTATTTCAGATATCCCAAAGAGCTGTAGAGTTACATGACTCTATGAATTTTAGGAGAAATCTATATAATAATGGCTTGGGAGAGATTCACTGCCTCTTTCCAGTGTGCTTCCTCCAAAACCAGTTCATGAATAGTGATATCTTTCTTATATCCGCTTTTCAATGTGTTCAAATCAAGAGAAAAATAACACATTTATATACTTATGCAAAATTAGAAAAACTATATTCTGTCCAAATTATTCTCATCTGTATCTGGCCATGTGAAAAATCCTTTGTATCAACTTTAATGAATATATTCCAGTATATATTTTATTTATTAATAAATATTTTTTTTATCTGGCTGGATCTTGAAAACCAATTTTTTTTATTGGGATGGTCTTATTGATAAAAATATAAATATTACTATAATTATAAGAATTTGACTATATAAATAAAATTCATTATGTAATATAAGAAATCTTAATATATTCAAATAAAATTGACTTATTAAAATAATAAAATCAAGTAGTGAGAAATTTCAAATACTTTTTCTTGCATGTGAGTGAGTTTTCTCAATTACCAATGAGAAAATAGTTTATGCTTGTTTGTGTTTGAAACTGGTAAAGTTTTTGTAAGAAGATGATACAGCAAACGAATCAATAATATAATAATTTATATTTACAACATGATGGGAATGTTTTCTTTTACATTTTGAAATATTTCTTTGTATGTTACATTTCCTAATTTAATTAAAGCTAGAGAGCTTTATAATTTTTTGGGCAATCTCTATCATAATAAAATGTAAAAAGATTATATACATATTTTATGAATCTGTCGGTGAATTTATTGTCCATTAACTTTTCTAACAACCAAAGAGTTTGCGAAATATGCATCACCCAATCGTCGACGAGAACGACGTCTTGTTATAGTTACTGTTCCTGTTGATGTTGGCACTTGTTCTATTTGCCGATAGTGGCTACGAGATTTCAATATCATTATTATTATTGTCTTCACTGTAAAAAGCAAATGCAATTTTTATTATACCTTGGTGATAAACTCTCTTGATAAATCCATGATGATGATGATGACGACAAAGAATCATTTCTACAAACGCCGCCGCCATCACCAACAAGAACAAGATCGTGCTGTTGTCGCCGTCGTAATCGCGTAATCATCTTGATTAACGCGCTCACAAGTAATAACGACATGATTATAATTGTTGTCTGGCGTTTATAGAAATTAATGAATAAATAAAAACTATAATAAAAAATATGAATGGTGGATTTACCATCATGCAAATCTGCAAGGAATGTTCCCATCCAAGAATCTTGCCAAATATAAACAAACATCCAAAATTCGAAAAATTTACTGTTATTATTTTAATAATATTAATTATAAGGTTGGCAAGAAGTAACATAAGAATACTAAATAGTAAAAATAGTATACAAACCAAAAAACGGCATCCAAAAATAATCAAAATTCACCCAAGACGCGATCCTTCGTAACATGATGGTAGACAATAGAGCGATCATGGTTCCATGAATTACACCATGACTTGAAATTTCAGCTAATATGACAGATGTCAATATTTCATCATAACAAAAGACTGATAATAAAAGCTAACCTGACAAAAATCCAAGTAAATCCATAAATCGTGACAACGGTCTCACAAGATTGATAATATCTTTGTGACTTTCGCGAGCGTCTGCCGTTGTCTCAGTTAATAGACGAATTTCAGATTGAGAGATTTGCAGTAATGCGTAAAAATTCTCTTTGACTTCGTTGAATGAGTCATGCCATTCCTTTTCTAGCGTTTGACGTTCTTTCTGTTATTTTGATAATATTGAAATATTATACTATGATAACGATAAATAAATAATACAATATAAAACTAGCAATAGAGTAATAAAAAAGTACCTTTTGTTCTAAAAGGTCATTATAAAGCTCCTGCTGGACAGCAGCAATTTTGTTTATTCCTATATGAAGTAATTCGAGGCCCTTTTTTTCATAATATAATTATCTATTAATATGCTTTTATTTTCTCTTCTTTTATCCTTTTTACTCACTCGAAGAGATTCCTGAAGTTTACCAAGACTTTGTTGTAAATTGTTTTCTGTGCTTTCCTGTATGAATGCAACTAGTCAATAAATAACAAGATAAAATCGTAATTTCACATATATATATATATATATATATGTACCGTGACTCTTTGCAAAATTCCTGAATACTGTACTCCAGTATTCACGATTTTTTCGTATACTTTTTTGGCTGTCTCTTGAAACTTTTCTAACTCCTATAATGGATATTAATAATAGACAATGAATCGTGAATTTTTTTGTAATTAAAAATTTACCATTGAAAACATTTTCAAATTCTCAGTCGTCTTGTTCGCGGATTCCTTTGTGATTTCCTTTTAACAAATGTATTAAATTTTAGCGAAAGAAAAGGAAAAGACGAAGAAAAGTCTAAATGGAAACTTCACTTTAAGATGAGACAACATTTGTTGCGTAGCTTCTTGAAATTCTTTTAAATTCTTTGCATTACTTTCTATTCCTTGAAAACTCTCTTGAAACGTGTCAAGAGACTTTTATTATAATTTAAATATTTTTACTCAAATTAATTAATGAATCGATTAATTTACTCAATTCACGATACGTAACATACTTCAGAAACTCCCAAAATTTGATTTCGCGCATTATCATAAATTTCAGCGGTGATATTTGCAACATCACTCAATTTATCAATAGTCTCTTGTTGTTTTGTATGAATATGTTCAGCAATAAGATGTACTTCTGTCAAATTTTCTTTGACCTTTGACATTATATTTGTAACGAACCCTGTGCCGCTCTTTAGTTTATTATACATTCATTGAAAGTTCAAAAACACTGGAAACAATATTAAATTGAATGATTATAATAAAAAGTAAAACCTCAATTTCACGAACGGCAGCAACGATTCGATGCTGCGCTTTTTCTAAGTTAACCAACTTTTGCATTTCCTCTTTTCGCCATTGGATCATCTCACGTTGTTGCAGACGAAGTATATCGAAATTGACGAGTTGACTTCGTGTAAGGTTATTGTGAAGTTGTTCCAGTTGTTCTGGTTATTGTTATCATCATTATTTATAGTTTCTGGAAAGTAAAATAACGGAGTTGAACTCACCTCGTTCGATTGAATATCGGACAGCAAAGCACATATTAACTGTTCAAGAATCATTAACATGGCAATAATTATACAGACAAACTAAACACAAACAACTTACACACTTCACGAAAATATCCGGAATAAGAAGTCCATAATTGCGGTATTCGTGATAATGACCTAATAGAAATAAATAAGAAGTCTATAAAAAAGAAATGAAAATTCATACCAGAATTTCACATACTCTACACATTTTCCAATATCATTATTGTAATTGTTGTCTTTGTCGTTCTTGTAATTGTAGCTGTTGATATTGTTAATTTGACATTCCATAGGAGCAGCAAGATTTGCAGTCGCGATTTCACATTGTGTCAATCGTACCGCATCTAAAGTTTGAAAAAAATGGTCAAGTAAAACTTCTAGGAAGTAAACAAGTCGATTAAAAACCTACATTTAATTTTATTCTCTTCGTTTAAGTCAATATCTTTGCACCCATTTTTCAATTCACGTGCCGCGCTTTTAAAACAATCTTCCTTACTTTTTTCGTATTGCGCCAACGAACCTTTATCATGATGCGAATATCAATTAATTCAACATAGTAATGCGATATGATTAATAAAATTCGAACGGTTACCATATCCATGTTCAATCACTATTCTTTCTTCTTCAGACAATTTTAACAGGTTTTCTGTCCAACCTTCTTCTACCAATTCTTAAATAATCAATGCGTTGCAAGTAAAAAATTAGCACGTATTGGAGAAAGCCTCATTACTACCTGGCTCTGAACTCGGATGCCCACCGTTATCATAATCGTGATCATCATACTCGACATAAGGCGACTTTTGCTGTTGTTGCTCTTTCATAAAATATGATGAAATGGGATTATACCATTGTAGAGAATACACAAAATTGCTATTTCCGCCATGTGTCGGCAATAATGGTGACAGAATTGTAATTAATAAGAAAAGAAGATTGAAATATTTTCTATGACATGTTCGATAAGTGATTCTCTTCATTTTCTTATCGTTAAAATGTAAATTTACCATAATAGTATATTCATTTAAGCGAATATATCAGACCATAGTAGAATATGCATAAACGAATGACTTCATTTACGTCATACTTCGGTTGTGCACGGTAACACCTAATATCGATCCATTTAGCGTAAATTCCCACACTCATTTGCTGATCGAGCCACCCTTACATTTTTATATATAACGCAAATTCTAATCCCTTCTTTTATTTTTATTTAATAGAACGGCATATTTAAAACATTCGCTACAAATGTCTCAGTTCCTTCGTAGAAACCTTATAAATTCTCGATCACTATTATTAAAACTACCACAACAAACTATCAAATCCACCACCTCGACCACCACCTCGACCATCACCTCCTCCTCCTCCTCCCTCACACAATACCGAACTATCTTTAATGCACCTTTCTCCCCGACAATCGTGAGTGCTGGGTTTCCACCCTCAACCAATTCTGCCTCTATTCCCTTCATGGTGTGTTTTGTTTCGTGCTGCAAGATCAGTTCACTTCTTCAAAAATTAATTCTTAATTCCTTCTTCAAAACAACTCCCAGATAACTTCTACGTCACGTCAGAAACTCTACGAACTGGAATATACCAAAGACCAAGTAGACTCTCTCTCACCTTCACAAGCACTCATCATTCTTACACATAACTTCAAACCAGAAACGTACGGCGCGTATATTCGCGCCACATATCAACCGAAAAAAACGCCAGAACTTGATTTGGATTTGCCTCCGGTTATTCAGCTGGGAGGTAGTGTTGGTGATGAGAGTGTTAATGATAGTAGCGGATCACTTTCGAATGAGCATGATTAATTTATTAACAGATTTTTTAAGGACTTTTGTTAATATCGTATTTAAATATCGAACGGAAAGTAAATAATTTTTTGCCGGAAATCTTAAATACTATTAAGAATTAGAATTTAGAGGATTTGTTTACAAAACACACCATTTTAATCAATAAATGCTATTTAATCAAGATCTTTATTAACGTTAATACAAAAAAAATAATGCGGTTTGTGTATAGAAAACCTGTTTGGTGTCATTGATAAAAAAGAAACAAAAAATGAAATTTCTTACTACGAACCCGATCCAAATTAATTTGAATCATCGTCTTTGATAATGATTAGCAAGATATTGAGGTATGTGAATAATAAATTTTTTATTCTCAATCTTCAAGCATTATTCGGTAAATAATATTAACTACTTATTAATTTCCAACATAAAAAATTGTCGTAAACTATTCGATGCTCTGAGGTTGTGTAAATAATAAAAACCTTTCATTTATTTGAAAAGTCATTCAACTATTGGTGTCCTCAATCCTGAATCTGATACTCGGGTAAAATTATCTCTAAAAATTAAAGTGAGAGATCATCTTCTGAACTCTTGTCCTGTGCCGTAATATATCAAAGAAATATTTTTCTACAGCCAAAACAATAAATAATACCAAGAAATATTCCAGCTGTTTCAAATAAAAACTTCATATAATAGAAATGGCCTTGAGCAATTCATCATTTTTTGGGTAATTTCTTTTTTCGGATCCTTAAAATCAATATATCATATGATCTGCAGTGTCGGAAAAAGGATTTATAGAGCTTCCTCTTTGGGATACAAACGACCAAAGGGTATCGACCGTTGAACTTTTCAAAGTGGCAAATAATAAAGATGATAAAAATTCCTAAAATAAAAATTGAATTATTTCAAAGATACTTCAATAAATCATTATTTCAACATCGTCATCATTACACTTTAAGCAAAATCAATAATCTTAATCACCCATATTCAATATACAAATATCAAAGAAAACCTACTTTTTCCCCATCATATCATTCCGAACCAATTCCACCATCGTCACAAATTGATAATAAATCAACGGCGCCATCAATAAAAAAAGGCTGGAGGAAATACGTAGATCAATTCAAATCAAAACCCGCATCCTACATTATTTCATTTGCGATTTTACACGAGATTACAGCGATTATACCAATACCCCTGGTTTATTTGTTCCTTGACCGAACAGGACTGAGCATTCCATTGCCAGAGAAAGTAATACAAGATGGAAATCAATTTATTAATAAGGTGGCAAATTATTATGGATGGCAGGGGTTCGAGAATGGAACACGCATGGCTATTAATGCTGCTACTAGCTATGCAGTTGTAAAGGTATAATGATTGCAATTATAATAAATTAATTTTTGATATTTATTAGCGTTTATTCTTTACATAAATTAATCGTCGATTTCAGGTATTATTGCCCGTCAGAATTGCGGCTTGCGTATGGTTAACACCTTGGACTGCTGACAAAATAGTTGGACCAGTGATTAACATATTCAAGTATATGGGAATAAATATTACAAAGAAACTAAAAAAATAAAATGAATATTACAGGATTTAAATAGCATCTATATTTATTTTACTTAGGGGTGCCGTTTATCAGGTGAATTTTAGGTCAAATTATCAGGTACATTCTTTGATCTATAGATATAACAGGTGTGGGAAGTGCTCTATATTTAAAAAAAGTCATCTAATAAATAAGCCCTCCCCTTACGAGACTGAGGAAATATGGTGGCTGATTCAAACAACACGTTCCATTCAAATACAGCGAAAGTGTGATTTTATGCCATCAAGATAATCAAATTGATTAATTTTTTGGTCAACAATAAAATTACCGTGGCAATTAGTCGATTTAATGTCACCATTTCTTCGTATTGCTTGCCCAATTAGAAGTCGTCTTCAAGATTATGATTACTTGTATATTGTTCGGCACCCATAGCAAGAAATACCGCGTGTTCAGATAAATCCATATCATTCATGGGTATTAAACCTGAATGATCAAGCATATCAAGCATGTCAGGATTATTATGATGATGATGTGTATCTTCATCGTCATCCGAAAACATTGGCCCCTCGTCGTCTAAATCACGATTATGGTTCTGTGGTTGCTCTTGATTACTATTACTATTACTATTATTATTATTATTGTTATTGTTATTGTTATTGTTATTGTTATTGTTATTGTTATTATTGTTGTTGTTGCTGTTGCTGTTGCTGTTGTTATTACGGTTATTATTACCGTGTAAGTCATCTTCATCTTCGTCATCGTCCATCTCATCTGCTTCATCCTCATCTTCGTCATCGTCATCTTCACCTTCTGCTTCTTGTATATTATCATCATCGTCCTCATCATCTTCATCATCTTCATTATCGAGGTCATCATCATCATCGTCTTCTGTAATTTCGTCTAAATAATTGCCATCGTCATCCTAATATATAACCGAAGATATTCAGTATCAACCCGTTTAAAAGAAAGCTCGAAATGTTTGTTATTACCGAATCCTCATTTCGATTTTTTAGTTTGATTAGTCCAGGAACCGCACATCTTTTATTGTTATTTTTGATGACAATTAACTGTAAATTTGTAAATTTCATTAATAAAAAAAGCAAAGTCAACACATTTTGACCAATACATAAAAGGGAACCAACCGAGGCTTCATAATCAGCTTCTTCTTGATCTAAATCGTCAATTTCGCTTGCGATTACTTTACGGTACCAAGAGTAAACCACAGATCTTGGTTCAAGTGAAGGATGATAAAGGTGAGGCGAAGGCATGTTGGAAAGACTTAAGACAATTACGTATAATACTCGAGATCTAAATTTAATGATCGCGTGCGCGAATCGATGACATCATGAGATCAAATGCATTTGATCCCGTTATGAGCGTTGTGCATACAATGTCTGAAGAAAGAGCAATAGAAGAATTAATAGACGCAATATCTAATTTATACGCTTCTCCCCAATTAACATCGTATTATCTTGACCATTTTAAACAAAAAGCAAAAAATAATGTGCTCAATCAAGGAGCACCGGAAACCGTTAAACATGTGTGTTGAAAGTGTAGTTTGCAAAAAATAGGTGAACTTTCTGACACTTATTTTTTTAATACTTGCGAAAAACAGGTGGAGAGAGCATGTAAAGAATTAGGAATCCGTGATGTCACGCGTTTTTATCAAGTGGAATCAGACTATTATGAATGGGAACTTCAGAGACGCGCGTACATTTTCAGTTTTATATGATTATTTTGGATTTTTATATCTGATTAGCTTAAATAAATGGACGTAATAGATTTCGACTCCTTGCGCCATCAAAAAAACATTTGTGCAAGAGTGTCATCTTCGAGAATACTCATTCTACCCATGATAGCATTGATGGTTAGTAAAGAGGAGAGAATCAATATTATTTATCACCAGAGTTCGTTCATTTCTGCATTTTAAAATTTAGATCCGAACAATTCAAGATATTACTGCGTGATAATTCAGGTTTATTATCATTTTCTTTAATAGAATTCTAAAATCAAAACCTTTCAGCTCACTGTTTTTTTTAAATGATCACAAAAGTACATCGCTTCTATCAACACCCAAAAATTGATGAATTTCGTTCGTGCTCTTTCGGACAAGAAAATTAGCAAAAAGCATTATAACTTTCGTTTGGCCCCTTCTGAGGTAAAAAAAGTTGTTCTCCCACATCTTTTTATAAATGTTAAATTTATCAAAGGATATTTTTCACAATTTCAAGAAATCACTTGAATTAACTGGCTTTGAAAATGGCGGCGTGTCTCCGATTGGTATGTGTGAAACCGTCGCGAGAGTATAGATGATTTAACTTGCAGTAATTAAGCTCTAATGCATTTGATAGGAATGAAATATCCAATTCCAATCATTCTCTCAAAAAATATACTTTCCCTCCAACCACCAGTTTTTTATCTGGGTGCTGGTCATGTGGATTGGAAATTAGCATTATCGGTGGCGGATTTTGTTGAAAAAACACATTGTTATTTAGCTGATTTATCATAAAGTATTATACATCTTCATATTTTTTTATTTCTCCTATTCTTCATTGACTTTCAGTATTTTATATAACGAGTCATTTTAACATTACTCACTATTACTACGCGTCGTTCTATATTACTAATATTATTGATAGAGCTAATCGTGTGGCAATGTGCATCCAAGGATGCTGGTCTTGTAAATGTGAAACTTTTGGATATCACCTTCGTTCACACCATAGAATGCTTGAGCTTCACGAAGTTGTTCATAGTAAAAATCTTTGGCATCGGCAATCCTTTTCTACAAATTTAAAAATAAAGAATGTTAATTAACATTAACGTATAATAAAATTCAATCCAACTGTTAAAAGTAAAATTACCTCTGCTAGACGTGTTTCATACGCTTCTTTTCGTTTTTGATCACGTTCTCGTAATTCAACTTGCCGTTTGAGTTCTGCTTGCTCTTCCCTTTCACGTCTCTCTTTCTCTTCACGCTGCTCTTTTTCGCGACGTTCTCGATCTTCTTGTTCCAATTTTCGTGCAATCGCCCTCATTTCCTCCACCTCTTTTAATTTCTTAGCTTTTTGCTCCTACGATCGATCAGTTTAATTAATAAAATCCACCAGTAAAATATCATCAATATAATCCTCTAATTACTTACTTCTGCCGCTTTCTTTAAAGGATCCAACAAAAATGAATTAGTCAAGGATTTGATTCTTTCTTCCTCTTCCGGCGACACTTCGTTTCTATTCAACAGTTGGATTTCAGATACATTGCTGCTATTTGGATAATACGCGTTTTGCAGAAATCCATTATTACGGCTGGGGATTGTTGTGCTGTTGTTTACACTCTGAGTTGAATTGGATGTGTTTTTGACGCGGTTGACAGTAGAGGTACTTTTATTTGTGGTTTGTTCAGTTGTTTTAGTTCGTGTGGGAACTACTTTTTGATTCTTTGTATTGTTACGAACGGGAACTGCCTTTGATTTTGTGAAATATAAATTATTATGCATATAAAGAACACATTTTATCAATTTCGAGTTTTCCGGTGGTGCGAATCTCAATTATCGAGGATTGAATAACTAAAATACCTCGGACTTTCTTTTTTTCGCGGCAGGCTTCCTCTTAACTATCATCGAAAAAGCATGGGTAAGGTGCAAGGTAGAATGCGCATTATATAAATACAATAAAAAAGACAAAAGAACAACAAAAAAGAAAATGATGAGAATATAGCTCTTTAGAATCTCTACTTGAATTACAAAGGATTTTTTATTAACGTGTAATAATGCTTAGGGCATTATTTTCTTTATCCCATCAATTCTTACACAAAGCAATTATTCCATTTGCTTGAATAAAGAGGTAATATATCTTTACTCGTGAATTTTTTTTTAAAAAAAAAAAAAGGGAAAGTTTGAAAAATATCAACGCAGCTATATACGTTAGAAACTCAAAGAATGACTTATAATAATTAAGTCATATTAATGACAGCATTAAGTAAAAGAAAGGGATAAATGATGATAGAAAAAAAGGAACCACCCGCTATACATTGTTTATAATTTATTCGGATTCACTACTACCTGAATCTTCCGTCTCGGTACCCGAAGAATCTGAGGTTTCACTCTCGTTTGACTGGTCAGGCGACGCATCATAATTAGAATATTCGATGTATTGAGTTTGAGTAGTACCAGGAGCATGCGCTTCGGCTATTTATGTGATAAATTTAATTCTAATCATTAATTATTCAATACATTCCCAAAAAATAATAAATTACCTGTAGCACCTTCGAATTTCTTCAACTGGCTTTCTAATTTCTCGATTTGTCTTTGTTGCTCCTCTTCATCATAAGCAAGTCTCTGCTTTTTCGTCGGAGGTTTCTGGCTTGTTGTATGGCTCAAAACAAAATCATAGATTTTTCGAGCAGTATTTGCGTTGACAGATTCAATTTCAAGTTCATAATTTCCATTTTGAGCCTGAAATCGCGAGTAATTGTATTCACATATACTCTTTGAACCTAAATTCCAATGAATTGCATTGCAAAATAGCATACCTCCAAGGGAGCACCACTTTCACGAATAAGCTCAATAAGATCTGCCATTCCTTCTTCCGTGAGAAGGCCGATTCTATCGCTTAAATCGTTCTTTTGTTCAGCTGTTAACGGAACCTGTTCGTCTACAGTGGATTTTGATGTAGATAGTGCTCGAGGCTTCTTGACAGGTTTCTTAACTGAAGTTTCCTTGACAGATTTAGTGCTGTTCTTACGAGTAGGCGTTTTGGAAGATTTTGAGGACTTCTTTGGTTTGGTTTTTAAAGGTTTTGCCATTGAAGCGATTTGTGTTGAAAGCGCAGCAAGATGTTTTTGCAGTGCTTTAAGATGTTGTTGTGATTCATCCTCTTGTTCTAATTATTTAAGAATTATATAATTAATTATTATTTAAAAATTAAAAACTTGATCATAATAATTACCGGATTCTGACACCTCTTCTGCCAGATTTTCAACAGAAGGAGCCCTTTGTTGTGGAACAGGTTTCTCTCTCCATTTCTTATCAAACACGGCTTCAAGTTGTTGACCCATTCGATAAACATCACTTCCGGGAGGATTATAAGTATAACAATTACGAAACATCAAACGGATATCATCCTCAAAAGCCTTTGCATTCTCATACTGATCATTCTCCAGCTTATTGCCAATAGTTTGAAGATCTCTGGGTTGTTTGATAACAGTATAATAATCAGGAACTTGCAATTTCTCAGCATCAACTGGTTCATAAAATGGATATGCATAAGGATAATGTTGTTTTTTTCTCAATTCTTTAAGAACACTTCGACAAAAGTTGAGATCGTTATTCTTTTTAGACGGTTTTCTCCGTTTCGCAGCATGAGTATCTGGGAGATCTTTGGATGGAGGTGGTCGGATTTCACGTTTAGGTCTCTTTTGTTCAGCTGTCTTTGGCGTTGAACTTTCTGCAATTATTTTTGGTGTTTTTGGAGTTTTAGGAACAGCAGTCGTTTGTGCAGGATTACCCGAGATGGACTAAATATTGTGCACACACGAGAATTAAAATATCGAAAAAATATGATCGAGATTTTACCAGGCTCTCAGGTTATTACGCAAAAGGAAAAAATACCTCTCCGGGCATCTTGGCGAACGCTGTATTGAATATTTCTTCCATGTCTTTAGCAAATTGAGATATCGTCGCGTGTTCTCCATTATAAACATAGCAATTGTTGAAAATCGTACGAACATCAGCAGCAAAATCCATCGTGCTTTCGTACTCGCAATTATTTAATCGTCTTTCAACAGTGCCGAGATCCATAGGAGTCTTGATGATGTCAAAATAGTCAGGGACATTAAGTTTGACTGGATCGACTGGATCAAGAAAAGGTCCAACATGTTTGTACTGTTTTAAAGACTTGATGATATTCGCGCAATATTTATGTTGTTCTCGAGTCATTCCAGCCTTTCTCCAGTCACTTCTAGAGCTGAATATTAATAAAAGAGAAGGTATTAGTTACTAACCTCATAAAAAAATTAATAACTCCTATAGTAGGTCAATGAATAATTCTTCTGCTAGAAGATAATAACGTTATTTTTGTTGACATTCGAAAGCAATTGGGGGAGATCTAAATTTCTATAATCCATTATGTTGAACTCATTCTATGCTAATTATTTTCCGGGAGGTTTTCGAGGGAATTATAAAACCTAAATCAAGTTGTTCCTCTTGTTGAATGTGCGCTTCCACTTATTTTACGTCTTTAGGAGTACCTTCCGCGCCAGCAAGCCATTTTTTTGTTTATTCAAAAAAACTTTTTCTTCTATTCTAAGACTTTAAGTTTTAATTAATAGAAAAAAATCTTACAAAGAGCCATTAGTTTCTTGAGTATCTGATCGATTTTTTGTGGATTGCTTTCGCCCTTTCGCCATTGTCAAAAATGAACTCGTATTTATTTTCAGGACAAGGGAAAAAGGAGAGTTGGATTATGGGTGATTTTTGTTGTGGTTTTTGTTGTAGTCGTTCTAAAGTGATTACGCATAAGCATGCATAAGATGAAATGATTATAAACTACAACCCTTGTGATAATTATTTAGAGTTCTCACGCCACACATATGATAAAGCATGGCACATATTGAACGCCACATTTTTTAGGGATAATATCATGTGATATTTGATTCGATCTCTCAAATGAGGTTAGGGTCGAAGAAGTCACAAACGCCAGTGCCGGATTAAATTTATAATTGGTGTCAATAACCAATAACGATAAAGAATGCAGAGATTTTTTTAATCGAACTGGCAAACCAAATTCGACTCCATACCAATATCTTATCATTATTCCCAACTCTGATCGGACGTAATGAAAATTTAGAATCAAATTTAGAAATTTGAAATTTGGTTCAATAAAACTGAAAATTTTTTGATAGAACACAGTATGCAGTTTTACATAGACAAAATTTAAACTATTTTTCATTTGTTTTGAATTTTCCATTACACTTCTTAATATGAATAATCTTATTTAAGTTCTTGAAAAACTAGCTTAATTTATGAAGATTCAAAAAACAAAAAAAAATCTTATTCTAATTTATAAATTTAGAAGTAATAATCAGAATTTAATTAAATAGCTACATGACTTTAAAGTGATTATTAAAGTTAATAAAATTATTAATAAAAAAAAGATTGAGATAGTAAAAGAATATTTAAAAAATTAGTATTATTTAATTTAATCAATAAGCTATAAGTAATATTCTTGAATTAACTAAATAAACTAATAAAAATTATGATAAACATGATTTTACCTATTATTTTATTCACAAATTCTATTTATCTCATAAGATATAATAATAATAAGATGAATTAGAAATATTAAAATAAACTGAAATTATTAAAAAGTATATTAATTAATTTATAGAATTAGAAAGTAAAGTAAATTCAGAGAAAATTTATTTTAAAAAATATAAAATCAAAATTTTCAAGAAAAATCTTAAATCTGAAATTCAAAAATAAGTTAATTTAAATATTGAAAATATTATAGAAAGTACAATTGAAATTGTAAAGAATATTAAAAAAGTTGATTTTGATTTACTTAAACAAACTTATTATTAAACTCAAGCTTAATTAACTAATAAATAAAGTGCTCTTACTAAAATATTAAATAATTTAATTAGTAGATTAAATTATATAAAATTTAATAAAAAGTATTAATAATTAGAATAATAATAATAATTAGTAATGAAATTAACTAATAAATAAATCTAATATTATCTAATATAATTATAAAGATAAAGAGCATATTAATAAAAGATATTTAATAGTTTCTCAATCTAGAAATTTTCAGATTAATAATTAAAATATCTCTCAAAATTAAAATAATTAAAATTAACATAGTAGTATTAATAATAATAACTAATAAAATCAGAATTTTCAGAATACTTATCAGTAATTCAATAATTCTCAAAATATGAATACTAACTTTTTTTCTTATTTAAATTCAGAATTTAATAATAGTATTATAAGTAACTACTAAAAATTTCTCAAGTAATTTCTTTATATAATCTAGTTTTTTTATTAGTAACTCATAATTATTTAGCTAAAGAAAGAAAATACTTTAAAATAATTAAAAATAAGAAAAATAATAAAGCTATCTTATTATTATTTGAAATTTCAAAAGAAAATAAGATATATCTGAAGAAAAAAATAAAAGAAAGAAAAAGCTTATCTTTTTATACTTATAAAAAAATAGAAATATAATATACTTGAAGATTTAGCATTTTAAAAAGCTAATATTATTATTATTTAACTTATCAAGATCTTATCAGAATAAAGAATTCAAATATTATTATCTTTTTGATATAAATTTATTATAAGTAAGTATTAATCCTAATATTATAAAAATACATGATAAAAATGATCACATACTTATAATAATATTTGGAAGAGTCTTTAAAAGATTTATTAACAAGAATATAAATACTATTATTTTAAAATTTATCTAAGGATAGATAATAATTAAAGATAGTTTCTTAACTAGTTGTAACTTGTGATAGTCAATTAAAGAGTTATGATAGAGTTATAATAATTAATTAGAGAATTGTAATAGAGTTATGATTAGTTGTGATTAGTTGTGACTCCTATCACTAGTAATGATAGTATTCTTATTATAACTAGCTAAAATATAGTTCAATTTTAAAATATAATTTCAAGACAGATGTAATATTCAGTTTATTAACAAGACAAAATAATAGATCTTAATCAAGATCTATTCTATAAGAGAGATTCCTTAAAATTCTCTTAAAACTAAAATTTACTTAAAATACAAATTGAGAACTAAACTTATTGTTACTGTAGTAACATAAATTTCTTTAATTTCATAATTTTTTGAACTTGGAAAATATGATCAATCAATCAATCTTTAGAAAATATGTGATTTCAAATAATATAATTAATGTATCAGTTATGGATTCAATCATGATTTAATAATATTTTTGCAATATTCTTGTAATATTTTTGTAATATTCTAAGATCATCAATGAATAATTAGCCTCAAAATCAATAATAATTCATAAATGGTTTAATAATAGTTCAGAAATACTTTAGAAATAGTTCATCAACAAATTTCATTTATTTTTATCTTTTATTTTTTCTTTTTAGAATATATATCTTATCTTTTCATTTTATTTCATCATTTATATTATCATTTAACCTACCACATATATCTTATCTTTTATTTTTACTTGTTCATTTATTGATACTTTATCCTAAAAATTGTAATTATAATCTAGAATAGCAAATAAGTTTAGATAGAAACTTATAAAATCTTAAAAATATATAAATATCTCTGCTTTGAGATCTGAAATAAATATACTTGAATAGCAATAATTCAATTATCTTTTGAAAATACTTGAGTTATACTTATCTTGTAATTTTCTTTTGATTTTTGCCTTGATAACTTACTTTCATTTACCTCTTCTATTGTAATAGATTATATTCTAATTATTTACAAGTTTTTCTTGCCTAAAAAACTTAGATAATGGATGTTCTCCACTTAAAATAAGCCAAGTATACAGTCAAACCTCGTTGTACTAATACTTTCATTCCATTAAAAATTTATCAGTATAATAAGGTATCAGTAGATTAGAATTTTTTTTCTACTAATAATATATGAGTAATACACAAAATATTAATATATCAAGCTTTATTATTTACTTGTATAGATTAATCATTATGAATAAAATTATCAATAGATATTTGCTTTTTCTTTGAGATAGAGTAAGTTAACAAATCACTTTTTAAATTTCAAATTTTAAAAAGTATACTTTTATTATAAGTAAACTCAGCAGATAGATTGAAAAGAAAGTCAGATAATATTTATAAACTTTCTAAAGCAGACTTAATACTTACAGTAGGATGAATGATTGGTTTTTCAATTTTATCTTTCTTTAAGAAAGAATGATTTATTATAGATACTATCTCATCATCATTTATATTTCTCCCTTCTATTTTTTTGTTAATATTTATATATTGCTCTGCTGATATTGAATTTTTCCAGTCTAAATGATCAATAGAAGATTGTAGATTATTCATTTCTAATTTAATAATATTATCGATATTTAATTCATCAATGGTTAATATTTCAATATCAGATGATAAGATATTAATTTTTCTCTAGCAATTCTTAATAGTAATTTTTATAATAGCATTCCACATCTTGATGCAATAAGTTATAGCATCAAGAATATTAACAGAAATAATATTTGAGTTAAATTTATGAGAAAGATCATATGAATCAGTGATATGTTGCATGAGTAATTAATAATAGTGTGCCTATATAGAGTAAAAGTTTTAGTTTAATTCAAGTAATAAATCAAATAGCTTTTATATCTGTCTTAAAGGATTTAATGATACTAGTATCATATAATTATAAATGAGATATAATATTAGAGAGAGAAAGTGAATAGTAATATTAGTTAATTGACTAGACTCCAGAATCATATGTATTGATATATTATCTATGAGTAGAAGAATATGATATTATTAATGTTATATTTAAAGATTTAGTTTTTTGAGATAGTCTTCCCAAATGAAGACTTACATTTATATCATTTTATTCTAATAATATTCAATAGATAACTTGTTCTTATTGATTTTATTAAGAGATTGCAGAGTTTCATAATGATATATGAGCAAAAATTTAAGTTTCTCAATATCCAACGTATTATAACAAAGAAGAATTATTATATGATTTTTTGATTTTTTGATACTAATAACAGAATTTAATGTTAATATCCTCAACAGTTCTAACTATCAGTATAATACTATAATACATATTAGATGAAGGAATAAAAATATGAAAAATGAAAACTCAGATACAAACCAATTTTATCACAGTTGAAAATATTATGCTTATCATATTTATAAAGTACTTCATAAAGCTTAATACGCTCTTGATCTAGTCTTTTTAATGAAGTACTATTTCCCTTCTCCAATTTTACATAAGACTGAATATGATATCTAGACTTATAATAATTAAATCATCTATTAGAACCATCAAATTTCTCAACTCCTAAAAGGCTAGCAAAATATTTTGCCTTTTGCTTAAGAAGATTGATAGTAATGATGATATTATTATGAATGATATGTATAAATCATATTGTCAATATCTCTTCAATTTCAGGATATAATGGTTTGCATTCTCTTTTTCTTTTTGATAAAATTTCATTATCATTAATAGTCAATCACCTGTCTCATTTATTCCATATATCTGAAACCATATTTTGTTTAATTCTGTATTGATTTGCAATATCAGTTTGATTTGGAGCAGGCTTTTAAGAAAGTAAAGTATATATTTCTTTTCTCTATATATTAGTTAATATAACTTATTATATCTTACTATTTTCTTTTTTCTTGATAATATTAAATTGTGATATTTTTG